TATGAAAAATTGATTATAATAGGCTGGCGAGTTGGCTCAGTGGAATAAGCTCTTTCTGGTAAGGGCAAGGGCCTGAGTTTACTTCCTGGTTCTGCCAAATAAAGAAATTATTTTTAATATTTTAAATTAACTGTGGTAAGGCTCACGGAACAGTGATTTGAAAGACAGCCTCCTGAATCTCAGTGCTCTGACTCAATAGGCTCGGCAGGACCTCAGGTTATGGGCACTGCAGAATTCGAAAGGCTCTTTCTCTCCCCTTTACTGCTATGGGACCCAATGCACCAGTCTAATGAAGGCATTCACCGTTCCCTGTAGAAATGATGGTTTCGAAGCTATGGGACAAGAAAAAGAGATCTTTGTCCTCTTAGAAGTCACCTATGAACTCTGAAAGAGGAGAAAGTCCAGCTAAATGCTAGGCCTTTTCAGAAGCTGGGCTTTCCTAAGGCTGCTCCAGTCACCAGACAAAAACTGAATTTCTGGTCCAAATTCCTTTGGCCACCTCACCTATTCATCATCTACTCCGCACCCTTTCCCTGAGAAAATATTCTCTCTGAAGTTCAAGCCTTCCAGTCCCAATCCTTTCTGGAAAAAAAAGGTATAAGTTTTTTTTTTCTTTCTTTTTTTTTTTTCTCCTCGAATGCCTTCAGGGCACTTTTGGCTTCCTGGAGAGTTGTGGGTTTCAAACTACAGCAACCTGAGGCTGATGGCTTTGTGGAAGCAGCCACTTAAAGACTGAGCTAGGGCCAGGCCCCCAACTTAAACACACTTGCTCAGCCCTTTACTGTGAAGTGCCACAATGGGACCCAGCTCTGCCAGGCCTGACATCCCCATGTGTGTCTCATTCTCTCCACAGTAGGATTTCAGTTTCCAAAGGTGAATTTTTGGTGGAGAATTTCCTGAGAGGGTCTATACCCTTGGCGAAGGGGGCCTTCCTAAACCTTTTCCCCTAGACAGCCCCCAAGGGGACTTCCAGTCCCCAATTCTACTGTCAAACTCATTCATGAATACATCACCTGCATTCGAGTCTCTCAGAAATAGTTTCATGGATAATTCTTCCATCGAGTTCTATGTAGATAACAAGTGCAGGTGGATTTTTAAAAATATTTTCTTAAAAAATAAAAAAAAATTAAATTTTTAAAAATTAATTTTATGTGCCGGGGATATGGTTCAGTGGAATAAACACTTACCTGGAAAGTGCAAGAGCCTGAGTTCAATTCCTGGTTCTGCCACAAAAAAAGTTTGAGGCATGAGTTATAAGAAGAGAATGTCTCCCTAAATACTAGGCATTTTCTGAAGCTGGGCCTTCTTAAGACTGTTCAGGTATCCAGTTTCAAACTGAATTTCTGGTTCCTAATTCCATTGGCTCCCCAAGAAATTTACCATGTGCACCTCACCAGTCCCCTGAAAAACCTCTCAGTTCTTTCCCCGAAAAAATGACAGAAGAGTGGCCGGGGAAATGGCTCAGTTGAATAAGTACTTCCTTAGCAAGTGCAAGGACTTGAGTTCAATCCCCATTTTTTCCAAA